CCAACAACAACAACAACCAACCAACAACCGACACCAACCGACAACAACAACCAACAACAACCAACAACAGCCAACAACAACCAACAACAACCAACAACAACCAACAACAACCAACAACAACAACCGACAACAACGGACAACAACCGACAAGAACCAAGAACAACCAACACCAACCAACAACAACACCCAACAACCGACAACAACACCCAACAACCGACAACAACCGGCAACAACAACCAACAACAGCAAACAACACCTGACAACACCTGACAACAACCGACAACAACCAACAACAACACCCAACAACACACAACAACAACAACCAACAACAACCAACAATAACCAACAACAACCGACAACAACCGACAACAACCGACAACAAACAACAACAACCGACAACAACCAACTACAACCAACAACAACAACCAGCAACCGACAACAACCGACAACAACATCCAACAACAACCAACAACAGCCAACAACAACAACCAACAACAACCAACAACCGACAACAACCAACAACAACCAACAACAACCAACAAGAACACCCAACAACCGACAACAACACCCAACAACCGACAACAACCGACAACAACAACCAACAACAGCCAACAACACCTGACAACAACCGACAACAACCAACAACAACCAACAATTACACCCAACAACAACCAACAACAACCAACAATAACCAACAACAACCAACAACAAACAACGACAACAACCGACAACAACCGACAACAACAGCCACCAATAAAATCAACAACGACGACGATAACGACGACAACAACCCACAACAACAACATCAACAACGACGACGATAACGACGACACCCACAACAGTGTCCGGTAATGTGTGGTAGAGAATGGCAGTCAGCCAGACTGAGTACAGTTGAACATGTATAATAATAATAACACATTTCGCGTAGTTGAGCACTAAATAAAGAAATTCAGTGTTTTTCCCACTTCTGTCTTGTGAGCATCATCAGCAAGGTGTAGTAGCTGCTGATACTGATTTGTCCTCGAGTGTCGAGCTGCACAGTTTCTTCCAGTCTGTCTTGTCCTCTGCTTGTTGCCGGCACCTGGAAAGGTCTTCCATGGTCTTCATGGGCACACCCAGCTTATTCAACTGAGCGAGCAGACTTGTGGCTAGTGTCAACCTTGGCCGCCCACGGGGTGCTTTGTTGCCCTTGTCCAAAGAGACGCTCATGGCTACTTAGGGTGGCGTGTCCGTGTCCGTCTGTAGCACATGACTGGTCATTCGTAGTCGCCTACATGCAGCTGTGTCATGTATTACTACAAGAACTCAACCAAGTCCTCAGCAGTCATGGAGTAGCGGCAGGTTAGGCAAGTAGGGCTGGGGGCAGAACTGATCCACTCCTTGATACAGTGGAAGTGAAATTCATGACCACACTCCAACTTGGATAGAGGACGATCCAGGGCATCCTGACAAATCACACAACTGGACTCATGACTTATTGCTGACGAGTCTACCTTAGTAGGCACTACATTGATGTACTGCAGCTCCATGGGGTGTATTGCCTGGTCTTGATGGTGGTCACCGTAATACACCCCGTTGAGGTACCACTGATAGACACCCTCCTCCTCCTGAGAGATGAAAGCAGGTCCATCTTCCCTATGCCGAAGGTTGTATCGGTACCACTCCCGTACACGATTGTTACCTTCCCTGTATATAACCGCTGGCGCATTCTCCCTGTGGAGCCTTCCTTGGTGATACCACCGTAGAATACAGCATGTGGCGTCACAATAACTGGCTGCAGGACCGCCGGCTCTAGGCGCCGTTGAGGTAGTACTCGATGCTACCCCGTCCTATCCAAGCCCGTTCATTAACGCGATGAAGGCGACCTTCATAGCACCAGGCGGACACTCCCCTACTATCAACAAGAGCTGGTCCGTCCTCCCGATGGAGTCTACCATCGACGTGCCAAATTTCTTGCTGCGCGTTTTGATCTGCCACCTCCACAACAGTTCTTATTGGCGTCCGCCTTTCTATTAGTAAAGGACCCGTGGTGAGAGACCACGACCGGTCGTCCACGTCTACACCGAATGTATCAGCCATATCTATTTACTGAGAATAATGTAACAACTCCTCCACAAACGCTTCTACATCTGACGTCTTCTTCATCCTGGTTTTTTCCTCTTGGTGGTTTTGGATAAGAGTTGAAAAGTCCAAAAGGTCAACTGATGACCTTTGCGTTACTTGGTATGATTGGGTTTTAGCGGATGATGTCGGTATGCAGCTGGGGAGCGAATTCGACAGGAAGAAGGTAAAGGTCTTGCTTTGCGGTTCACACCTTCACTTCAGTATCATTACAGTCCAAATGGCTTTCACTTGTCACTGTAGCGTTCGAATGTCAGGGGTAATACCCCTATTCCAGCACCTGAGGCGGTGCGTCAAGCGCCGCCTCTTTCTCATCATATATTGTGACAAATGGTAAGTGTGCAGTGCTCCTAGCTCTCTCCCCCAACAAAAGAGCTCTATGACACTGTGCTTTCTGCGGTTTCTTTCGTTTTTACAGTGGAGAAAGGCTGGTGGGAGGCCCAGCCGTGGCCGCACACCTGGCGGGTGCGGCCCATCTAACCCGTTACTGGGAGGGCCGGCAGGTCGGGCTGCTGTTGCAGTTCGACTACCGGGACGCCGTGGAGCGTATTAGGACCCTGTAAGTAAGCACTGCTCTGTCTACATGTATACTTATCCCCCTCGTTATAGCGATACTTACTTGTTTCGTATCCTCTTGTCTTTAATACCCTGCTTCCGTATTCGTGACACTAATAGTGTTTGTGTGCGCTCATGCTTGGTTTTACAGATGATGATGATGTATGAAGGTCTGGACCTGCCGTCTTCGGGATGTGCCATTTGTTTCAAAATTATTTGTAAGTACTTGTAACAGGCGTAGTGTAGTAACTGTGTGTGTAGTGTAGTAACAGTGCAGTCGTAATGTGTTTTGTGATGGTCCTGTGCAGTCGTAATGTGTTGGGCTACTGAAGTACACTGCATGAAGGGGTATGTGTGGGTGCTTCGACACATTCTCGTGCTTCCTAAACCCTAGATATGTGTATAGCACTATAACCTAGATGTGTGTGTGTGTGTGTGTGTGTGTGTGTGTGTGTGTGTGTGTGCCCGCGCATGCATGCGTGTGCGTGCATTGTGTTCTCTTCTACAGACTCATCCAAGTCCATTTAAATAAAAGTGCATTATAGTAAACAGTATTGTGTTTTGTTACAGTGAATATGTGGGGAATGGTGGATATGCCTTAGTGTGACTGGATACGTGCGGGTTGTGACTCTTTGCTGGTCACTCTGGATTCTCCAGTATAGATTCGGTGCAGTGCAGAGGGGATTTGCGGTGCGTAGCAACACTGCTTCACTGTGACACCCCTTCAATAATTGTTTTGATGCATGATACTCCGGGCGTAGCCGGTTGATTCTTACTGTATCCCGATCAAAATAGAAATATGCATCTAATGCACCTGCATGGATAGTAGGCATTTCCCAAATCGGCCGGCCGAAAAATTCGCCGAAGAAAGTGGTTTTGAAGAAATCACCCATCTTTTCGCCGAATTTTCAAATTTCGCTTGTTGAATTCGCCGAAAACCGATGTTTCAGTGCTTCAACAGAGTGTGTGTAAATGTACATGACGTAATGGGAACGGTGACTTCAAGTACTACGTTGAGCCGAGTTCTGATCTTGGGGCTCATAATATGGCCGAATTTGAACATTCTCTTAACCGATCGAAAAGCCGATTAGGCATGCTCTGCATGGGCAACTTGTCAATCAGTGCACATCTACGATGTGCAAATAAAACGAATGCACGGAACGTGAGCTTGTTTGCTGCACATCTACGAAGTGCGAATCAGGGAGTAGTATAATGACACGTGTACTAGTACACCTTGTGTTGCACTGCGTCTTTTCCACACGCATAGGACCACTGAAGGTCACACGCTCCGCGTGCGTATGCACGCATGCGCAATATGTCATTCACTGCATGCAATGCACATCTACGATGTGCAAATCAGGGGATAGTACGTATTTTACTACTCCCCGGTGCGAATGCACCGAACGTGCACAAGTGCACGTTCGCCATCTATGGCGAAAAGAACCTTAAGAATGACATTTATGGCATGCCAGGGGTCAAAGGTCAAACTCTGGGGGATCCCGGGGCCAGACCCAGCACGACCGACACAGTGTGCCTTATTTGGACCAAAGGTCAAAGGTCAAAAAGTGTGCCAGAACCTGCCCCGCACTTACTACTGACACCTTCGAAATGTGTTCATATTGTTTCCATCTAGCTGCAATAATGGCTTTTTATAGTGCAGGTGTCAAATGACACTGGTTGGCCGTTCTAGGTATACATACTCGCCATCATGGTACCTCATCAATTACAAATCAAAGGTTTATGGCAGACGAAATAGGAGGCAAAATTAGGAATAGTCACAAGATTTGAGCTTATTCTGATTAGCCATATTTCGGTAATTCCAAAAGTTTGACTCGCGCGGTGTCAAATGACACCGTTGGCTGTTCTAGGGTTAAAAGAATTCAGAACTATTACAGCCTACATCTAATGTATAATGAACTCAGATGGAGAGCCAAGGATTGAAATCAAGAAGTAAGAACCAAAGCAAAAATATATCCACCACTGGACACAAAATTTAATAGTATTCTAGCAATTGCAAACATTCTTTTCTGAGATAACCGGGTGAATAAACACCGGGAACCAGAAGCTACCTAAGAATAACTGGTGTGGAATAACTGTTGCGGCATCTACCTAATCCATTAAAGAAATCGAAGTACTGTGGAATAAAATACGTGAGATGTGTCCAGTTCATGTGAGAGTGCCGTAAGATAGAACACATCACCAAGCAAGGCGGCGGGTGTGTCGAGGAAAACCAAATTCTTAACGAGAAGAGTAGAAAAGACAATCGAAAAATATCAATGATGTTTTAAGCATGTGTAGCCTAAGGAGTTGTGTGTGTGTTTGTGTGTGTGTGTGTGGGGGGGGGGGGGGGGGTAGAGGAGTAGGATGGGATACGAGAACAGTTGGTGTCACGCTATGGTCATACATGTATATGTTATGATGTATACAAAAGTGTGAGCAGGTGACTGATGACACATGTCTAACCCGAAACCTTCAAAACACGAAAATCTTGTGATCCTGGTAAGAGGAAACAGCTACTAAGCCCTCACTTGTCACGCAGACACTTGTCGGCTTGTACAGCTCTCCTTTTCCAAACTCAGCCAGTGGTGTGTAAGTTTCTGTGGCATATACCTGCAGAGAACATGGACAACACTGGTGAGCGTACAGGAATAACACGTATTATAGATGGTTGATGCCTGGTAATGCATGGATGATTGATGGTTGATGCATGAATGATGTATGAATGTAACATGGATGATGTATGGATGATGTATGAATGATGTATGGGTAATACATGAATGATGCATGGCCAGTGCATGAATGATGCGCAATTGATGTATGGATGATAGTAATCTGCAAGGTATGGGTTAGAGTGGACATACAATGAACATGGCAGGGGCGTCGGAACCGGTACGGCAGGTGCGGCCAATGCCGCACCAATAATTATCGATTTTTTTTAGACGGGAACCGGCCTCTTGTACGGGCAGAAGTAACACAATAATACAGTTAGGGATTCCAGTCAAAATTTCAAATTCATAATTCAAGCTAGCTTGTTCTTGGACAATGTCACCGAGGAAATGAGAAATCCTTTGGTACCAATTTTATCAAAATCGGTCCAGGCATTCGAAAGTTATAGCCATTTTTCTACAGCGAAATGGGTGTATTTTTCTCTGGCGATCAAATGGGAAATCGGCTCAAAACATGGTCAAACTACTGCATAGCCACCACCTAGCTACATACATTTTCACACGAATCAGATGAAATTTTGTCAAAGTTTACAGCCGGCCTCTTATCCTTGCCTTGAGCGGATGACATATGCACGCTTCGATTCGGCGAACCTACCCCTCTTCTTCACACGGCTTTGGCCGACAAGAACGTCAAGTCACCAGCACGGCTTTGGCCATTGCCGACAAGGACGGCAAGTCACAAACACGCCAATGTTGATGTTGCCGATGCCGTTTTCTGCAGAGCTTGCAAGTTGCGAACCAAATCCAGAAGACGCTGTCAATGGGAGCTGGGATCAGGCTGATCATGGTGAGAGATACTGCATCAGCTCCAACACCAACCAGTTCGATCGGTAATGACGGCAGCTCACTGTTCTCCGCCAGCGCACGAGTCGTAAATCCAAGCCGCCGCCTGTTCTCCTTGTTCCTCGCAAACAGGAGATAGTACAGAATCGTGTACTACGTCGTGCTCACTAGGCACAGTGCAATCCTGGTCTTCGTGCTGCTTGATACTCGCGATCAGCTGACTGCGCTGGGGGTAACACCTAGTTTCTAGTGTAGATCTACTCTTCTTCCTCGCACTTGAAAAAATCGCCATGTCGGAGGTGCTTTTAGTCCTACTCGGCGCACTCAAAATTTCAAATTTTGTTGCGCTGCTCTACCTTGCTTGAGAAAAACACCGGCATGGGTGATTCCGAAAGGTTTGTGGGTGCTGGAGCTGAAAATCGGTTTAAGAATCCCCTAAAATGCCATTTTAGACTTGAAAATCGCCTTCAATTTCTTCTTTAACTGATCGCAATGGCCTAATTTCGCCGCACGGCGCTCAAAACCCCCACATTGGACAGCTGAAAACCTCAGGAAGCCACTGGTGACTTCAAAAATCCTCCAGAACTAAGGATATCCCAGCGCACTGGCCTAGAATGAGCCGTCATCGCGCGACCAAACTTTTGTGTGTAGCGCGTGGAGAAAGTCCTCGAACCCAGTCGGCCAGATCCTGGAACCCCTAATACAGTCATTTCAATTTTCCAAGTCGAAATTCTAAAAATCTATTCTACGTTTTTTGCAGGCCTCAAAAAGGTGTGTGGTATCTCATGCGTGCATAAAAAATGTACGGTACGCTCTACCGTGTGAACCTTTGTACCAGAGCATGGACGGAAGTGGTAAATCATGTACAGTGCCAGTGGCAGCAGTTTATTGTTTACTGACTCGAAGAAGATGGATGGTTACCCCAATATAGGAGATGCTCCTTTCCAACCCAGGTCGCATGACTACCCAAAGCGAGCCTTCGGCCCGTTTGGGGTTAGCCAAGTAGTGTTCCGTAGAAACCTTGTTGATGGCTTGTCGACTCTTGTACAGGTACCATGTTTTACATCGACAATGCGGTGTATCATCAGCATGCATATTCGTATTTCTCATATTATTCTGTAGCATTAAAATACGGCCTTTTAGGCACAATTTTCAAAACAATTTCACGGGGAGGACCCCACACTTTGGCCGCAGCAATGTTAAACTGCTTCCGATGCCCTTGCATGGACATGAATGTTCATTTTATTCTGCATGTATTTCACCCGATGATAAGACAAGAGAGTATACTAGTGAAAACTTTCAAGATGTTCAAAAGCCTGAACTGTGTCCTTCTTCTCAGCATCAATACAAAGTAGACTAGGGATTTTCCCTAATGAGTTGAATACTCTGATCCTCTGTACTTGGGAAATGTCAGTAACAGTGCCGTATTTTCCGGAGTATAAGCCACACTGGAGTATACGCCACACTGGAGTATAAGCCACATTGGAGTGTAAGCCACACTAGAGTATAAGCCGCACTGGAATAAAAAGCCCCATCTGAACCATCTGAATCATTTGGCACCAAATAGAGTCATCTTTCCCATTAACCACTGTTGATTTGATCATCTGTGTACAAGCCACACCGGCTTCTCTTTGGATGTATCACTGCTGTCTAAAGTGCGCCATATACATGTCGCGAAATGACTTGGGTCTTTTTTTATTCCTCGCGATATATCACCAGGCAAAGAGAACAAGAGTTGAACTACCATTCGGATTGGGAAGAAGAAGAAGAACCCAAAAATCCATTATTCCAAACCGTTCCTCGTCCAATATCACTGAAAAACCCGCGAAGAACCAAACTCACGTGGCAATATTTGCCACGTTCAAGAAATCAGATCAAATACGTGTTACAAGTGAAACCGCAGTGATCCACCGGCACAAATACATGGTGGGCACAGTACAGAAAAACAATATTCATCACTCAGACTGATGTCATGACAATACTACAGATAATAAGGAATATGCAATAGGTGTGTAAACCACTTTGCTACTTCTGAAGTATGTTTTCATTCATTGAAAGGTGAATAACCGTCAAACCAGCAACATGGAGACAGTTGTGGTCAGGGATTCAGTAACATTACCTCAAACAACGTCCTCTTACCCCGGCGTAAACTGAATCCACCACAACATGGCACGTATATTTCAAGTACAGTAAAACCTGTCAAGGCGGTCACTCGGATAAGGCGACCACCTGTCCTAGAAGACCACTGCAACCTGGACCAATTGATGCTATTTCAAGTCAATTGACCTTGGATAAGGCGACCACCTGGTAACAGATACCACATTTTGAAGGTCCCTTGAGTGGTCGTGTTAGACTGATTTCACTGTAGAGATGGGCTTCGAAGGCATACTCCTATACAAGTACTTAAATTCTACTTAAATTGATTAGGCATTTCTCTAAATGTCAATATGCAAGCCAAGCATACAGTAAGAACGCAGCTACAGCACGTCCATGATTTGGTTGTAGCATTGATGTGTGTCCACTGTATTCCTTGCTCTGTTCTCCAGACATTCAGCACTGCACCCAGTCTGAGTATGCATGGACACTAGGTAAACCCTAAAGCATATGTGCCAGAGGTCCCATTTTGGAAATCATGCTAGTACTAGTATTCATTGCAAGCTTACATGTGAGACACACTTTTATACAAGAAAGTAGTAGAAGAGTAGAATGTACCCTTGTTTTTTGAACTGTAAGAGGTAATGTACTCTTGCTTTACTAACGTACTCTGTGCATGCAGTGTACATCACTTTCTGTGTTCATATCAGTGTTGTCTGAATATTGTACTGACCATGAATCACAGACTAGCAACAAACTGACCATGCTCCACTGTTGTATATGTACTGGGTACTACTCTCTGCCTGTAGGTATTTAGAAAGAAGAACACGACAACAAGCTCTCCCTTACCATAACACGTCCATTGCCATAATCTGTGACTAGTACATTGCCATAGGTATCTGTAGTGACATGTTGCGGGTACTGCAGCTGACCAAAAGCGCTGCCCTGAGACCCGAACGAAGTGATATACTCTCCATCGACGGTCATCACCTATTGCAGGAATAAAAAAATTGAACATTCACACACACCACGGTGGTGACAGCAAGAGTATAGATATAACAGGAGTGTAAGAATAATACTCCAACACACAGTGCATAGCTACTATCATTATGACTGCAGTGATGATAAGGTTACTGGTGTGCAACTGTAAAAACTCAAAACCTGAGGTAAAACATGGACCTGGCACCAACATTTGATTACTATGTATGTATTTATTGTAGCACAGACACTGTTTGGTTTGTGACATGATGTATAGACATGATGTTTAAGAGTCTAACTTCACATCAGCCTATACACTCCTCCACTAAAAAGGATAAGTTAGGCGAACATGGCCAACAAGCATTTGCATAACGTAAACATTCATTTCTGATTGGATGAATATTTTCCTGCCCGACCCTGTCCAGTGTATATTCCGATAGATGGGTTGTCAATAGCAGTAAAGTCTCATGCACACTAGACATGCAAAAAAGAAACAATATAATTTCAGATCTACATGTAGATGTTGCAATTTCAGTGGATATAATTGAAGAAGGTGGCTACTCCAAACTCTGGATCTCTGCTCTTGCCAGAGAGCAACACATTTTGCAGTGCTCTCAGAGCACAGATTACAGTAACGTTCTGAAGCTCAGCTGATACAGGGGGAATTCCCCAGAACACTGCATATTGCAGAGGGTGGCACTTTTTTGCAGATTTCCTGAGTCAAACATTCTACTTGCTGCTCATGGGCCCTAGACGGCAGTCACGAGTCAGTCAAGTGTCAAGTCAATCAGTATGAAGTGTAAGCACCAAAGTTTGGAACAGCCACCTACAAAGACCTGTCACAACGATATAAAGCTGAACTTGCTACTGCTTCCATTCCTGCTGCTGTTGCTGTAGTAGTTTTAGTAGTAGTAGTAGTTGTTGTCGTTGTAACGTGTTGTTGTTGTCGTCGTCATTGTTGTTGTTGTTGTTGTTGTTGTTGTTGTTGTTGTTGTTGTTGTTGTTGTTGTTGTTGTTGTTGTTGTTGTTGTTGTTGTTGTTGTTGTTGTTGCTGTAGTTGTTGTAGTTGTTGTTGTTGTTATTGTTGTTGTTTGTCGCCGTCGTCTCCGTCGTCATCATCGTTGTTGCTGTCGTTGTCATTGCGGTTGTCGTCGTATTCGCCGTCATTGTTGACGTTCTTGCCAGATTAACATGATAACATACCTGGATGCGATGGTTTTTCTCGTCTGCAATTAATAACCTGTTGTGGTACACTGTGATGCCGACTGGACCTTGAAATTGGCCTTGACCACTACCTTCTGTTCCAAACGCATATCCTGTCTCACCACTGCATGGCACAACCTGTACAGTACCAGTGTACATAGAAGAATATACACCTGTGAGTTGTTGTCTGATGATCGATTAAAACCGTGAGACTTAGAGTTACAGCTTAAATGCTTTTGATTCCTCTCAAGTGTGTGTGTAAACCTGTGAGATATGTAATTCATTTGCAGACAACTTACAACTAGATTTGGTGGTTGGGCTGTGATAGAGCTTTATGAAGACTTTCTAAAACACAAACATGTAGTGATGTACCGGTATGCCAATGGAACCCACATGCATATTCATACATACACGCATTCACGCACACACGCACACAAACGCACATGCACACACACACACACACACACACACACACACACACACACACATATACACACACCAATGCTTGCACATACACGCACACACTACACTACACACACACACACACTATACACGCACACCCACACACATGCACACCCACACACATGCACACCCACACACATGCTCGCACATATACGCAGTGTACACCCACACACACAATCGTGTACACACCCTCAAGCCCCCACACACAAACACAAGCCAAATGGACCCGCCCACCCACACTCAAACGGCTCCACCCACCCACGTCACACCAATGCCCTCAACCTGCATACCAATGCGCTTGTCCTTTTACGTGCTCATTTCCAAAGCTTGAAGGGCAAGGGATTCAAAGGCATCTTCAGATGATGGATGATGGATTGGCGATCGATCCATCCAACGGCAGATAACTTATACTGAAATCGACTAACTCTGGATTGACTTCGGGAAATTATTCCACTTATAGGCTCACCACACATGTGTGAGTGGTTTAGGACATGGTGCAGAAAAGGGTTTGACAGCACTTACCCTCCCCCCCCCCCCTCAGTGAACGTAATACTGTAATACATGTATAGTAGATGGCAACACACGCAGTCACAATCTGGCTTTAGAGCACCCACCAACAGAACTAGCTGACACACCCATCAAACATGCACTCCCCTCCCCCCTCCCAGCACACACACATGCACGCTTACCAATGCATAATAATGTAACAATCGACTTCCATCCTAAAATTATCAACGAGTGCATAATTATGTTACAATCGACTTCCACTAAAATTATCAACTGGGATTGTACTGTGTTAAGAGTATATGATTGATCTGCTGTTACATGATTGAAAACAGTCCCACAACTTGATGCTGAACAGTGATATAGGCTAGTTCTATCTTTATGTATACCACAGTACACTGTTAGTGGGTAGGAGAGGGATTTTACACAATACAACTGTACATGTACAGTGTGTACAGTCTGGTTATTACCTGAACCCGATGGTTTCTGTACTCTGTCACAGTAAGGCACTGGCCCAGTGCGCTGTGGTTCACTTGGACAACACCAGTTGGCCAGTTGAACTCGCAAATTCCTGATCCAAGCCTTCCTATGGTGCTGAACTCGGAGAAGTCCTTGTCAGTGATCTGCAGAGGGGGCATGGAGATGGACAGGAGAAATCAAGATGATTTAGAAATGGCAAATAACTTCGTCAAATTCTTCGTACAGTTTTCGAGGAGACAAAAGTATAATTAACACTATAAGCAGTATTAGTGCCAGAGACATTACCATGCAAGTGAACGCGTTTAGAGTTAAAAAGGGTGTGTAATTCCAGACCCAATTTTCTGCTGCGGTCATCAGTGGACTTTACGGAACTACTTTACTACTTTATGGAACTACTTACAAGTTACTGTAAGGGTAAGCGGTGAACATACAAAGTAAGGGTAAGCCGTGAACATACAAAGTAAGGGTAAGCGACGAACATACAAAGTAAGGGTAAGCTGTGAACATACAAAGTAAGGGTAAGCGGTGAACATACAAAGTAAGGGTAAGCGGTGAACATACAAGTAAGGGTAAGCGGTGAACATACAAGTAAGGGTAAGCGGTGAACATACAAAGTAAGGGTAGGCGGTGAACATACAAAGTAAGGGTAAGCGGTGAACATACAAAGTAAGGGTAAGCGGTGAACATACAAAGTAAGGGTAAGCGGTGAACATACAAGTAAGGGTAAGCGGTGAACATACAAGTAAGGGTAAGCGGTGAACATACAAGTAAGGGTAAGCGGTGAACATACAAAGTAAGGGTAAGCGGTGAACATACAAGTAAGGGTAAGCGGTGAACATACAAAGTAAGGGTAAGCGGTGAACATACAAGTAAGGGTAAGCGGTGAACATACAAAGTAAGGGTAAGCGGTGAACATACAAAGGTTTTGTGGTCGCGTGGTGATACAATAGCCACATAAAAGTTGCTGATAAATGTGATAAAACTAAGTAAAAAGGCTAGTAAACGAGGTGGTGATCATACATGACAAAGTGTAGAAAGAAACACTTGTATAAGGCTACTTCGAAGTAGTATATTCGTACGTGTGTGTGTGTGTGTTCAGGTGTGTGTATGTGTGTTCAGGTGTGTGTGTGTGTGTGTGTGTGTGTGTGTGTGTTCAGGTGTGTGTGTGTGCAGGGCATAGATTAACGGCCGGACATCGGCCATTTTCCGGCCATTTTCGGCCACTGGCTGGACGTTTTCAATTTCACCGGACATACTGTCAAAAGTAAAAAAAGAACAGCAACCTTTCGACCTTTTTATGCAGATTTGGGCTTTCTTCGGAGCTGCGTGCCAAATGCGACGTGCATATCGTACAGCTAACACGTACATCGTAGACTTCAGTATTATTTGCTTGATCGGCCTGTAGCAACGCGTTGTTGCTACAGTCAATTCACACTTTTGACCGTTGGTGTCGACTTCGCACTTGAATCGATATACTTCAGTACTACTAAAAAAAAGAAGAGGGAACACCCTGAAAATTTGTTGTGGAAAATGTCCGGGCATGTCCGGACAGATTTCAAAACGGAAGGACATTAATTTTGTCCGAGCTCAATGAAATCCTTAAGCTATGCCCTGGTGTGTGTGTTCAGGTGTGTGTGTGTTCTCAGGTGTGTGTGTGTGTGTGTGTGTGTGTGTGTTCAGGTGTGTGTGTGTGTGTGTGTGTGTGTGTGTGTGTGTCTGCACTGGTGGAGCTGGTTCGCTGACATGTCGGCGAACGGTGAATATGGCTTGTGTGTGTGTGTGTGTGTGTGTGTGTGTGTGTGTGTGTGTGTGTGTGTGTGTGTGTGTGTCTGCTCTGGTGGAGGACGGTTGTACTTTTTTGGGCTCTTGTTTCTGGCCTCCGTCCGTGCTTGTCCTCGCCGTTGTGGACGGCCTGGGGTGTCCCCAGCCGTTGTGGACGGGCTGGGGTGTCCCCAGCCGTCCAGGCAAGCAGCGCCTGAGGTGGGGTCTTCAACGACAGGAGACTTGGTCGGATAGTTGCGATGCCGACACTCTCCTCGTCGCCCCCACCTCGGAGTCCTTCGCGAGGCCCTGCAAGCCCGCGAGTGGAGCAAACTACCGCACGAAGGCGACGACCTGGAGCGACTCTGAGCATTGGCTCATGGAATGTTCGCTCTCTTGTGGAGAGTGATGGACCAGTTCAGACGACAGCCGTGAGAGGAATTGTTTCCGACGATAAGAAAATCTTTCAAATAGTTGAACATCTTGAAATTTTGAAAATGGACATCGCCGGTCTTCAGGAAACGCATTGGTTTGGCTTTGAGCAGTACAGAGTCGCTGGGGCAGAGGT